CAATAAGAAATAGAGATCACCCAAATGTGGCAGATGAGAGTAGTGGTAATTCCATTAATAGTTGGTGCCCCTGGAGTTATAAAGGAAGGCATTTCTAAGCAACTCGGTGAAATCCCGGGGAACAGCAACCTATGGGAAATTCGAAAGACAGCACTTCCACGTACAGCACACATTATTAGAAGGGTCGTATTTATTAAGTAAAAAGAAAGAACATCCTGTAGCGCTTTACAGCTGTAGGTCCGTGGTTTGGTCTTGGCCCTAGAATGCAAAATAGACGAACGGAAGTGTGATAATTATTATATATAGTGAGTATGGATTATTATCTATTGATTTAGGCTCGGTTTCTGCCACTCTCTCGTGCCCGGTCTGCTCCCTTCCCAAACAGTGCTTGGTAATGGAGCCTACTATTGATACCACCACCTCCACCACTGCCAACCACAAACATAAAGTACCAGTTGTTAGTGTTTCAACAAGTAGACAACAACGTACCACAAGAACAAAATAACCGTTTATTTTCAAAGTCCTTCTTCCTTATACATGTATATACGTCATAACGAGGCTAGCGTTCACACTAGTACCGAGGCTACCTAGCCTATCACTCATAACAGTTAGAGTTACAGGATTTGGCATCCTTTTGTCGTGTAAAAAATAAGATAAAAAAAAACTAGAAAAAAATCCTCTTGTCATATTTATGATTCGCCCAGAGATTTTCCTTGAGGATATGGCTATTTGACCCTAGCTAGTGATGCGGACCAACATCAATTTACAAAGGCCTTGGCGTTACCCTTTGAAGCATGCAATTCTATGGAGCCAGGTAGTAAGGAACATAGTGAACGTGATCCCTGAGTTCTGTCCAGTGAAATAGACTTACTGGTTGATGCGGTAGGTGACAGGACCTGACGGGAGCAGATGGCACCCTCAAAAATTCCGGGGTATCTATATATCCCGATATTACACTACAATGAAAAGATGCTAGCCATGTTATCACTGTTGTGGATGGCTTTCTCTGTGATAATGCCTTGATGATAGCTTGGGGTGATGCAGTGTGGCAGAGAAACGAAACATTTGAATCGTCAGCAGGAAGATATAGTAGCAGTAGTGTTTTTTAGGGCTTAGCCAGAAGATTACAAGGATGCTCTGATCTGGATGGAAAGAACATTTAATCGGCATGTGGAGGAAAACAAGGCAGTCACACTTATTAATCCAAAGTGCATCCTCAGGCATTAAAGGCCAAATGAACCAAAATTTAGACATCTTTTCATCAGCCATTTTATAGCGACGAAATGGTAAAAAACATGTAAATGGAAACTTACGCAGAAATTTTTCTTTCTGAGCGGTGAAAAGGAGTAAAGAAGTTAAAAGTACGAACACAGCCAATGGCGTCACGAAAATGTTTCCAAAGTGACCGCGCTTTTTAATGGGGGGAATGGAACTGAGACTCTGCTTTGTGACGTCATTGTTGTCTTGAACATTGCAGCGTTTCTTCGTCAGTGAGTCTTTCGTGGGGAAGGTTTTGGATCTAAAAACAAACCTTATTTTACTTGGGAATGGCCAAGGAGTTCGCCCACTGTTCGGCGGGCATTATTTGCTTGTTTTTCGTTGTTTTTTGTCCAATCGCCGACTTGGAACGTTCCATAGTGAAGTTAAAAAGCGTCGGTACCGTGTGTTTCTTGACTACAAGTTGATGAAGCTTGAAAGAGGGTCTCAACAAACTCCTCACTACAAGATTTTGTTCGAAGCTGTCTTCAGTAAAGTGTTTTACACAAACGCCCGAATGCTCCAAGGGCATGAAGCATTCTGTTTTCATTTTTATAAGTCATTCTCTTTTAAGTTTTGGGTCCTGGGGGAACTCGAAAGTGCTAACTTTTGATTTTGGGTGGTTTTCCTCTGAAGTTCACTGTGAACTTGAAACCAAAACAGTTTCAAATTTCCCGCATTTCTTGAGCTCACCAACAGTGACGTTACAAGTTTTATTTCCAACAATTATCTGACAATTTTCCCGACCGCTTTACGATTATGAAGGATAAAAAACAGTGATTTAAACATTCCAATATCTCTCAGATGAAAAAATGTCTAAATTTTGGTTCATTTGACTTTTAAATTGAGTATGGAGCCGAACAGCAGACTAGAGGAATTACAACATGGATGGGGGTGATCTCCATGTCAACACTGAAAGGACCACTCGTGGCAGGATGCTCAAAGTGTTATATCATGTGAGGTTTACCAGAACCAGAATTAGAACCTTATCCATTCAACCTCGTTCCCAGGTTCTACACCCTGGGAATGCCACTGCTTATGAATTATGGTTTTGTGTTCACATTTGGGCCTTTATTTATCTTTTAGTGTCAATGCTGTAATTAAATTTAACAAATGTAAGAAGAAAAAGAAATGAAAAGAAAAAGTTGTATTGTAAGGGTATGTAGGTTAAACAATGCACATGTAAATATAAGTAATCTTCGGCTGTGTCCAATTATCTTATCACCATGGTTAGGCAGCAAAAGGTAAGCTCTAGTTTAACTTTTTCGCTTACCTTTCGTAGAATTCACAGAACCGGTCGAGATGTTGAGTCTTGTAGTTTATGCAGCAGCAGAAAGTGGGGCTCAACAGTTTATTGAAATGATTTTCACGTCTCCGGCTGGAAGAGTAGTCTTCGATGTGTACAAGAAAAAACCGGTGCTGCCCGAGGTTATTGCCAAGGATCATGGCAACAAGGAGACTGCAAAGTACCTTGAAGGGATAACCAAAAGGTAAGTTCTATGACAAAGGACAGAAACTGAAAAAATGTTTCACAAGGCAGACAGTTGCAAGCAATGTTGCACAGGCCAGGCAGTTGCAAGCAATGTTTCACAGAGCAGGCATTTTTAACATCCTTTTGAAAACAAGCCTAAAACCATGGAATAAGTCCATCTATAATACAAGGAACTGAAACAATTAAACTGGTGAAAGATTCTGTTTGTTTTCTTTAATACCACAGAAATTTTAGATGGTACTATTTCATATTCAAAGGTGTTCTTTTGGACTCAACTCTAGTTCTGCCAAATAGTTCACCTTACTCCCTGGTGCTTTTCTCATGGTTTCAGTAACATGACGTGACTAAAACTACTACTTCCCCTGGATGAGATAGGATGAGATATTATCATGGCCAGCATCATTTGAATGAGATGACCAGGATCAGCCCCAGAATGTTGACCTCTATATTGCAAATTAAGTGCATGTATACTGGACTTAAAAAATATCCATTTTTTGCTTCGTTGAAAATGGTGATCAGGACCAAACCTTCTTGTCCATTCAACTTTAATATTGTGAAAAATGTTAAATTTTGAAAGCTTAGTTTCCACTAACAAAAGTTACTCTTATTAGAATATGTATCTCTTTTCTCGCTACACAGATTTTCTGAGGAGATTGGGACTGGTGAAGAATGCTCTCAGACAATCGATTGGTCTGAACTCGTGAAAGCTGCTGAGGCAGCAGAAGAACAGCTTGGTAAGTAAATAGCTTCTGATTATCCTTTCTGCTAAAAGTTTTGTTTTCACGTAACAAGGTCAATATTTGATTTCATGATATTCACACGATTGTGTTCGCTTGTAACAATTCAGACTTCAGATTGACAATATCTGTAACATTTTCTTATGCCTCACAGGAATAATTGTGATCTTAAATGATCGGTTCTTTGTAATAACAACAAGGGGTGTGTTGATTTTTCATTTGTCTACAACTAAACAGATCTTACTAGTGAAAAAGATGATCAAATTGACAAGGATACCCCCAAAGAAACTGGCTATTTAGGAGACATTGACACATCCTCCAGTGAATCATCGGAGGCTCAAAGCTCGGATTCTGATGATGATATTTCAAAAACGTCAAGGAAAGGTGATAAGTATACTTAAGTTAGACTTTCATAGCAGTCTGTCTTTTGTATATGCATTTGGCTATAAATATTTTCCCTTCAAGCTGTTCAAGTTGAGTCTCCCTTGGTCACTGTATTAATTTTGTCCCATGTGCCGAATTGGGCAAGAGGCGGCTCACGCAGGAATCACGTAGTGTTCATGTACATTATCATAATTGGCAAATTAGTTGTTTTGACACTCAACAATTGTCAATTGTCAATTGTCAAGTGTCACTATCACTTTGTTATCTCCCCTTCAAAAACTATTTTCATGAAATAATTCTATTACAGGTATCTGCAATATCTTGGCCTTCAAAACTCTTAAACCACCAAGATTTGAAATTATTGACATCTACAAAATACAGCTCTCTACGCATGGATTAAATGGAGTTTAGGGAGGTATTCTCCCTACCTTACCTGGGCTGATTTCTATAGATGTTTATGTATTCAGCACCGAATGATAGATTTTGACGTTGTTCCTTTTTCGTTATTTTAGAAATTCAGATGAAGGCAGAGGAGTGCAAACAACCAGTTTGGGAGCATGGAGATCACGCTATTGAGGCCAATAAGGCAAACCTAACCCAACGTCCGATTTTGTTTCTCAAAGATGGAGCGTTTCCAAGAGGCAAAGCAAATGTTATATCCTATTTTAAAACAAAGACACTCAAATGGAAAGAAAATAGTCTCCACCTGATTCAAGCCAGCCGTTTTCAAAAAGCTCACAATGTACGGCAAGTAAAATACCTCCATGGTCCAGGTATTTCCTTCCTTCTGGGTTTAGGCAACGAACCAGTCCAGCATCATCTCATCACAGCATATCAAAGTTTGGGCTACTTGCTGGCGTTAAGTAGAGAAAGAAATGAATATTACAAGATGCATAATGGCACAGCTGAAGATCACCAGTCTTTGGAAAATTTAAGCACTACTGCGGGAAACAACGGGGACTACAAGGCGAGTAGGTTGGACGCCTTACAACAGCTTTGCTGCAGACTAATTTATGGAGGTAAGACGTTTACTGAAAGCTGAACACAACAACGTTAAATCTATAAAAGACTGACCCCACATGTACATCTTCAGCTTTGAAGTTGAGTGTAAAGCTACTTTCAAACTACCTCTTTTGGTTTGTAAGTGTTTCTTTTTGTATTCTAGCTGGACTCTATAAAAGATTTTATAATTGCCTTTATTTTCATTGGCAGTGCCTGAGTTTCAGAATGATTGCTTTCCAGAATGTACAGCTACAGCAAACAGTGAGGATCTCACTGTCAGAAGGAAATCAGCTGAGTGTTGGATGGAGCATTGTCAATCTGCCGCCCCTTACTTTTGGGTGCTGACTTACGTATTTCGTCCAACAAGGAAGATTTTGTTTGTTTATGTAAGAATTGCAAACACGTTTTTAGTAGTTTATACTAATTTGCCCATACTTGAAGATTACATTTATTATTATAAATTGAACTCACTATCTCTTTTCTGATTGGCCGAAAGCATACAGTGAATTTTCGAAATCAGTGCCTGTGACGTCATCTAGCTGCAGATTATACAATAATCATGTCAAGGACACTCAAGGTCACGGGCAATCATATCATATATGACCGGGGTGCATTATTTCCAAGGGTGATCATGTCAAGTTTGCGCGCTTTGTGTTGCTTGCCGTCAGTGAAGAAGCAAAAACATGACTTCCATTTTTGGTTTCGTTCAATGTATAATAAAACAATTATTAAGATTCAGTTTTTGTGATATCCAGAATAATCAAGGTCTCGGTAAGAAATATCAGCCTCAGCCTTCGGCTTCGCCTGATAACCCTTACCTTGACCTTGATTATTCTGGATATCACAAAAACCTCATCCAATAATTGTTTATAACAACGTGACATTTTTCTGTGATTTCCGGCTTAGATACATTTTACGTGGTAACAGAAGAAGCGAACATGAATCGACTAAGTTGATATTCTTCATACTCATTGACGCACGAAAACAATGTTGATATGGTGCTCATTTCTTGCACTTTAGTCGTTATCTTGAGCCTGGTTCTCATATGCCGCCGACATACCTGGGACGGCCAGAGACACCGCTACAACATGTGAACATTTATCGCCGAAGCATAATCTATCCCAGGCATTGACCGCCAGCTTGCCCGCGAAGTTGAGCTGAGTTCAACTTTACAGGCAAGCCGGCAGTTGTCGGCGATGAAAATCTTTTATGTGAACAAGATCTGTGGACGCAATGTATGACGTAACAACTCGATTTTCCCCACAATTCCTTATTTACAGATTGAATTGTTGAAAATTGCGCCAATTCGATTTTCATTTCGCGCCAATTTGAGTACGTCGGCGATCCATCGCAGATGCGCCAAGGACCCGCTGGAATAGATCGCGGAACGTTGTCAGTTGCAACCGGTCGCAGGTAGGTCGGCGATATTTGAGAACCAGGTTTTAGAAATGAGGTAACTGGCTTTGTAAGAGCTTCATTCATAGTGTTGGATGTCTCTTCTATATTTAATCTCTGAAAGGAAACAAAAACCAATCAAATGGCTTGTTAGGTAATTGTTGTAATTGACTAAAGCAAGGTGTGTACGAAAATGGAAATGTCAGTCAGGTTTTCTTATAGTAGTTTGGATTAGGGTAGGTTTTATCCTCAAAGTGGTGCATTTATTACTAAAGCTAAACGATGTGAAAGTATGGTCATGCGCACATTATAGCTGACCAGCCTTACCTGACCAAAGCCTTCATGGAAATGTTTTTTTGACTTTTCAGGTTGCAGACAGCAAAGACGTCTTTCCTCTTGCGTCATGTTTTGATGATAGACAATATGAGTTGTCATGGCAGCGTCAGCAGTGGCAGCGTTGTAAAAACAATGTACCCAAGGTGCAAGAAATATTCAAGCTTCCAGGTATTTTTCACTTGCATTACATAATACGAAAATTGTTGTCTAAACAACAAACGAGCCAGTTATATTTCCTTTCCTAAATCTACAAAAAAGGAAACACTGTATTAAGTTCTTAAAACCTAATTCTTCGCCAAGATAATTACCGTAAATCCTCGAATTAGCGCCCCTCCTATCGGCCAAAATTTAAAATAAGCGTCCCCCTCCCCTCCCCCCATTTTGTGGACGAGTAATGAGACAGCAAAGGATGTATAGTTTTCGTCGTGTAGTATTAGATTTGTACATTGTTTAATTTGTGACCACGTGGATTTCTAATGGTGCCGCGATTTAAACTTTAGGATCAGCGTTTTATGTCAATAAACAGCTTATGTTGTTGTTTACGTGCAGATGATGTATTAAAAAAATGATCACGTCAGGCCACGATTTGGAAAAAATTAAATAAGCGNCGGGCGCTAATTCAAGGATTTACAGTATCACTGTATTGAAGAGATGACATGTGAAGAATGTAAGGGCAAAAAATCAACTCTATGAACGCCTCTGAACTAACACTAACAGAGTAAAATGTTTGGAAGCAGTTTCAGTCACATCAAGAGAGTGCTTTTTCTTTACCTATTTGAAAAAGGAATTTATACCAATTGGTGCTGCTTTATAGTGGTTAGACAACTGGGTCAATATGGAATGTCAAAGCCATGCTGGGAATTACTGTCGACCACAAAATCATACTATGGTTTCTGAGATCCAAATACTGATTGGGATAAAAAAAAAATTGAGAAATATGGTTATTTTGCAACATTGATTGAGGTCTAGTCAGCCGTCCCACTCTTTTAGCCTTCAAATTAAAAAAAAATGGTCTGTGTTTTCACCTTGTCTTTTGTTGTGAAACACAAAGTATTTGATATGACAAGATTTTTCTCAGCCGTTTCTACCAACTATACTCTAAGTATATCATAGTGTAACTTGGCGGACACCTCATGGATACAGCTTTCTGTAGAAAGATCGTCCCACAGAAGTGTAAAAGCGTACGTGACATTACCAAAAAGCGTTATCGGTGGACGTATTTTGTGATAATCGGTATTGACATAAATTGATATTTTGCCGACAGGGAACAGAGAAATGGGTGCGAGCGTAGCACGCGAGGACTCCTGGGTAGTACGTTTGTAAAAATAGACGGTTGAGAAACTTTTGGCATTCGACGGTCAGCCTTGCCTCTAGCACTTCCGGATTAGGTTTATTGTTATTATTTTTTTCGTTCTAGGCTTGCGTAAATAGCGTTATCTGATTTATCTTATGACCCTTAAAACTCCAAAGGCGGCGCTATGCATTTGGTCGGGATTACACGGTCCCTATATTTTCTAATAAGAGATTTTTGGGGTTTTCGTGTCCGGCTTTGGCGCTTGTAGGATGTTATTTGATGTATCTCTTATCCACTCTGTTATGACCTTATCGTCTCAATTAAAACATATCTTGGGCCTGGCTGACCAACGCGCCCATGCCTTATAACCTTTGAGTGTGTTCGGTTGTGTAGTGAAGGCAAAATTGGCAGTTAACTATTGTTTCAACACATATATTCTTGAATTTGCCTTCTATCGCACTGAAAGGGCGTGAATTCAACCAATTGTAAACTCATGTACGCTTTTCGCGCCTTTGTAGGAAAACTTTTCTCAAAACAGCTGTATTCATATTTACTACGAAATGAAATGATTTCTTTGAAAATCACTATCTGTGTATACTTCCTCCTTTGATGGAGCGGATCACATAATGATAACCAGCAAAATGCCGGATACCCTTCTACTGGGGTTGCCAAAGTACATTTACACATCGATGCCATAGCACGGCATAATGAAAGGGTACTAAAAAATTGTTTTTCTTATTTTTATATATTTTCGTAGAGTTGAAGAGTTCACAGCTTGATCCACCACTCTTAAATCCACAAGTCACTCATGTAAGTGTACTTTCTAATACTTGTCTAATAGTCTATGAGCGAATTGCCCACGAGGCACAGGCGAGTTGATTATCGATCGCTGAAAACAAGAGCGAGTTAATGTCTTAGTAGACACTATAAAGCATAGCAGTCAAACACCTTGACTGTTAGCTATTTTAGCCCAAAGTTTCCCTTTCAATGAAACACAAGCTTGATCTTGATCCTTAAGGAATCAATCAAAAATAGAAGAACCAATAAGACTTCGCAGAAAGTTTTTAAAATGTAAACAAAACTGGAGTAAATTGTATAGCAAGTTGTAACGATTTCAGTTAAATCCTTCGATACAACTTTCAAGGATAAAAAGTGAGGGAAAGATATTTCTTGCCTTGTCAGTTGGAAGAAGTAGAATGACATCATTTCTCTGTCTAAAAGAAACTGAAGCATTGGTCGCTTTTGATAACAGCCTATTTACCAGAAATCCCATGCAAGTACAAACAGGGGCAATTAAGATAAGGTCTTACAGGGTCGAGATCAATTTGTTTTTTGTTTCTGCTGGTTTCATTTTCCATTGCAAATTAACGCAAAGTGAACAACACCTCTTAATCTGAGCAAGCATGGTAAGAACATTTACATTCGAAAATTCATGCCTGGTTTTACCTAATATCTGCCATTTAGGTAGACAAAGTGGTGTGTAAAGAGCAGTCCCTTGCAGTAGATGAGCAACCCTTCGATGTTGTGGGAAAGCCGTGCTTTAAGGACCTTTCCTCTGATCACAAGTCTAAGAACTTTGAAAGAGATTCTTCTGTTTCCCAGAACAAGATAGCCCATAAGACAGAAAGCAAAGATGAGTTCTTCATACCCAGTCAGCAGCATAAAGGCGCCCAAAAGGTAAACAATGATATCGACGTGCTCGTCTACTCATTTCTTGCACTTTAGTCGTTATCTTGAGCCTGGTTCTCATATGCCGCCGACATACCTGGGACGGCCTGAGACACCGTTACGACATGTCAGCATTTATCGCCGAATCATAATCTATCCCAGGCATTGACCGCCGTCTTGCCCGCGAAGTTGAGCTGAGTTCAACTTTGCAGGCAAGCGGCGGTTGTTGGCGATGAAAATATTTTATGTGAACAGCATCTGCAGATGCAATGAATGATGTAACAACTCGATTTTCCCCACAATTCCATATTTACAGATTGAATGGTTGAAAATTGCGCCAATTCGATTTTCATTTCGCGCCAATTTGAGTACGTCGGCGATCAATCGCAGATGCGCCAAGGACCCGCTGGAATAGATTGCGGAACGTTGTCAGTTGCAACCGGTCGCAGGTAGGTCGGCGACATTTGAGAACCAGGTTTTAGAAATGAGGTAACTGGCTTTGTAAGAACTTCATTCATAGTGTTGGATGTCTCTTCTATATTTAATCTCTGAAAGGANTATCACAAAAACCTCATCCAATAATTGTTTATAACAACGTGACATTTTTCTGTGATTTCCGGCTTAGATACATTTTACGTGGTAACAGAAGAAGCGAACATGAATCGACTAAGTTGATATTCTTCATACTCATTGACGCACGAAAACAATGTTGATATGGTGCTCATTTCTTGCACTTTAGTCGTTATCTTGAGCCTGGTTCTCATATGCCGCCGACATACCTGGGACGGCCAGAGACACCGCTACAACATGTGAACATTTATCGCCGAAGCATAATCTATCCCAGGCATTGACCGCCAGCTTGCCCGCGAAGTTGAGCTGAGTTCAACTTTACAGGCAAGCCGGCAGTTGTCGGCGATGAAAATCTTTTATGTGAACAAGATCTGTGGACGCAATGTATGACGTAACAACTCGATTTTCCCCACAATTCCTTATTTACAGATTGAATTGTTGAAAATTGCGCCAATTCGATTTTCATTTCGCGCCAATTTGAGTACGTCGGCGATCCATCGCAGATGCGCCAAGGACCCGCTGGAATAGATCGCGGAACGTTGTCAGTTGCAACCGGTCGCAGGTAGGTCGGCGATATTTGAGAACCAGGTTTTAGAAATGAGGTAACTGGCTTTGTAAGAGCTTCATTCATAGTGTTGGATGTCTCTTCTATATTTAATCTCTGAAAGGAAACAAAAACCAATCAAATGGCTTGTTAGGTAATTGTTGTAATTGACTAAAGCAAGGTGTGTACGAAAATGGAAATGTCAGTCAGGTTTTCTTATAGTAGTTTGGATTAGGGTAGGTTTTATCCTCAAAGTGGTGCATTTATTACTAAAGCTAAACGATGTGAAAGTATGGTCATGCGCACATTATAGCTGACCAGCCTTACCTGACCAAAGCCTTCATGGAAATGTTTTTTTGACTTTTCAGGTTGCAGACAGCAAAGACGTCTTTCCTCTTGCGTCATGTTTTGATGATAGACAATATGAGTTGTCATGGCAGCGTCAGCAGTGGCAGCGTTGTAAAAACAATGTACCCAAGGTGCAAGAAATATTCAAGCTTCCAGGTATTTTTCACTTGCATTACATAATACGAAAATTGTTGTCTAAACAACAAACGAGCCAGTTATATTTCCTTTCCTAAATCTACAAAAAAGGAAACACTGTATTAAGTTCTTAAAACCTAATTCTTCGCCAAGATAATTACCGTAAATCCTCGAATTAGCGCCCCTCCTATCGGCCAAAATTTAAAATAAGCG